CACGGCAAAGTTGGACACTGGGCAGGATGAGATCCTCTCTGAAAGCATCTGAATAATGTCAAAGATATCCATGGACAGTATAAAAGTTGGATGTACCCTCTATGGCATCACCTGCCGGTTAGTGAAGTTAAGAAATGAGCTAAACATTTTAGCATCGCCACTTTGGTGTTCTGAGAATGGACACCAAATGCTAACTGAACACGCCTTTATGACTAAAATGATGACAATACAGGGAAATGATTGCAAAACCCCGAGTCACACAGGCCTACATACCAGTCAGTGAGCCAGTTGCTAGGAAAAAACATGTATTTCCCAACTCGCTGGTAAAGACCTCCTTCGAATACTTTGGTGGCCAGCACATTGCTGCACTCGCAGCTTAAATGGAAGTGGCGGACATTGTCCAGCAGCTCTCCAAGCTGAAGAGAAACTGTAAAAAGTGCACTGAACTGTAAACGGGATCCATTAGCCTTCAAAGTAAAGGGTGTACTTTTGGAAATGTGTTGGCTCCAGCATTGACGCAAAGCTTTTATTATGGAGGCAAAGCTTATCCATTTCCAGTATGTGTCACACTTTTTCGAGTTTTACTACTGCTTAGCTGGTAGTTGGTGAGTATTTGCTGACAAAGATGAAAAGCTATAGTTAACAATGGGAACCAGCAAGGAACCAAAGCAATCACCAATAGGTTTTTGGCATAGCAATTTTTTTTTGCAAATGATTTCACCCAACATGAGCCAGCGGCCTCCAGGAAACATTGCTAGCCAGTCAGGAAAGACACATTTTTCCCTTAAAAACCAGCGGTTGACTCATTGACAAATCTTAGGCATGTATGACGTCATGCAAGAAACCTCAATAAGACAGGAAGTCTTTTTTTAACAACTGCCACCCCTTGCTAGTCATTAAGAAGAATGCAGGTTAAGGCACATGGCACTTGTTTCACTTTTCAGACGTGGAAGCTACAGCCACCTTCTAGGTGGTGGGGCAAGTTGCTACTAAACTTTCAAAATAAGAGCCACAGGATATAAACTGATCACAACTGATACCATTGTCTCAGATGGATTTAAAATAAAAATAATAAAATGCTGAAACGAGACCTAAAATGTTTCTCAGCTGCCGACCCAAGTAAAATGTAAAATCCATAACACATTTTCTCTACTAAAGACATCTATATATCTATAAATTACTTCAACTTATTAACTAATTATTTAACTTTAACTAATTATAAGTTAAAGTAATTTCACAAAACCCGTGGACTTGTGGTGTAACAAGAGGAAAAACAAAAAAACAAAATACAACCAGCTCCTCTGGCTACATCCAACACCTCATAAACAGGACAGGACAAAGCTTATTTCCAATCTTAGCTTAATGTCCTAGCTCGCTAACAGAATCTGCAGTCCCACGTGATAACAGAGTTTGTAGCTTAAGCTATTAAAAACAGCTCCAGGATAATGAAATTTTCCTGATATATGAGCTAATGTAGGAAACATGCAGCACAAACAAACCTGTAACCATGTCTGAATGAGTGCAGAGTATGTTTTCTTCACACCGATAAGACCAGCGGCACATTTAAATCTCACACGTCATCTGGGAGAGGTCTGTGTTCACCAGCCAGTAACAGCTAATTGAGTAAATAGGAGACCCAACTGAGAGAGCCAAATAAGATCCCTCCCCTGTCCCTGTTACTGTAATGATTTCCACATTTCCTCTGTGTTTTCCCCTTGCTCATTGGTGGAACGTATACCGTAGTAAGTCAACAGCAGAGAGAAAAACAACAACGCCTCGCCTTCAAACTGCATTAAGCTGCACTGCAGTCGACATACATTACAGGGACTATTTTCTCTCTTTACCTCCTCGTTGTGGGCTTGATTTAGCTTTTAGACCAGAGGACACGAAAGCACCGGGGATGGATAGAGCACGGCTGATGATCTAAAAGGTCATCGCTCTCAACACCCCTCCGCTCCAGTGGCCAATTACATCTCATTAGAGAGACACACAGAAGCCTCATCACGATGCAGACTGCTTTCACATCAGTGCAGCTCATCTTTTATTCAGCGGGTGGTCCGCCAGCTGATCCCCTAAATGCCACAATCAGTCAAATTTCACAATAACAATAATTTAGCACTGGAATACTCATTGTGATGATCACTGTGTCACATTTTTAACCAGTGTGCCAGTGAGAAATCCAGGTTAGATGGCGATTATTTAGCGATTCAACAACATTAAAATACATTTACAGCGAGAATCTGCACCTCGGGTCAGTAATTATTATCCATGGGTGGGTCACAAATGACTTTTTTTTAAGTAATCACCGCCATTTGAACATGCAGATAAACATAAGGTTTGTCTGAAACGCAATGAATATGTAAAACTCTAAGCATGTAAAGTGTGACCTTCTTCAGTAATATCTTCATTCAGGCTAAAACAAGGTTTATGACTGTGTAAGAAGTGCACAGATTAATTAAGTACAGCTAACACGTACGCTTTAGTATTTGTTTATTTAGTACAACACTCATAAATGTTCTTGCAATTTAAAGGAAACCGTACAAAAAAAAAACCCCAACAGAACAGCTTCTATCTACTTAATGGACCAAAATTGGTGCAAAGTCTTCCACGTGTTCATTTGAGTCAAGGTCCGAAGACTGAAATGAGTCACATCATTTTCATGTTCATGAGTGAGGAGATTTTTACGTTCTAAAGGACTGTGACATGGGAACAGCTGGGTCAGTTCCCTTATGCCTCTTTTCTACTAGCACCTACTTGGGTCCGCTCTACTTGACTTCACTTGGGTCTCATTTGTTTTCCATTACAATTGAGTACCAACTCAATGTGGGCGGGGATGTTATAGCAAGGAGGTCTGAAAGTCCTGCGACACATTTTCAGCTCGACTCAGCTGGCTTGGAACAAGTAGGAACCGAGTAGGTCCTAAAAAAAAAAAAAAAACCTGATACCTAATGGAGTACCCTAAAAACAGAATAGAGTTGAGTCAGTGCTGATGGAAGAGAGGCTATAATGTTCTGTGTAACGTTTACACGGCACTAATTTGCATGTATGCATCTTTGTCTGTGTGATGCACCCAAGCAATTTATCAATGTGTCTTGCTAACTAAGTCCAAAAACTAAGTCCACAGGGAGGATTTCAGAAGTTATTATTTTGAAAACTAACTCAATTCTTTATATTGTTGTGTGACCGACTTCCAGCCCTCCACGCCTGCTCTCTGCAGCTTGATTCAGTGCTGTCAAAATATATAAATTGGGTACTTTTGAACAGTTTTGCCACCACAACATGGTTTTGAGTGGAGCCAGAACCAGGATTGGATACCTGGTGTACTCCCAGGGTAAGCCTACTCGCTTGAATCTTAGGTGATTTTGGCAGGTAGTCCCTCTCTAATTTAAGTGCTCAATGGACACAAAAACTTCACCATTTACAAATAATAATAATAATTATAATAATAATAAAAACGCTCAAAATACTCAGTATTGTTTTGTCCTGGAAAGCTTTTTTTTTCTGGCTGTGCCTGAGCACCCTGACCATGCCCCATGGGCAGAAAGCTGGGCAGCAGATGCTCTGATCCTGGGCCTGGCTGCAGGAGAGGGCTCAATTTTCCCACTACCTAGCAAGGTTACTGAGCTCCAGATCTTGGGGTTTTCTGAATGAAGGGGAAGATTCTAAACTCAATGTCAAAAAGAGCCACATGAGGTAGTTCGGGCATGTGGTTGGGAAGTCTCCTGGGCACCTCCCTCATACATCTCAGTAGAAGGAAATGGAAAGTGTGGCTGGGGAGAAGGATGAGAAACCACCTGCCACTGCGACTGGCCTTTGGATAAGCAGAGGACAATGGATGAATGGACCAACGATGGAGTGCGGGCATGGCTGATGCTTCTGCTCATCTCATGAAAGCACCAGACAAACGTCATGCTAATGTCACAGACACGTCAAATGTCTCAGCACAACCACATGATTGACTCAAATATCAATTTTGCTGATTTTATTCACGATGTGTTGGTCCCATCTTTACACAGTGTATAACTGAGAACTTCATCCTTTGGTATGAATCCAGAACAAAAACACATGATGCTCAAAATGGCAAATTTGGGGCTTCAAAGTGTCCATGAACCAATTAGTGATGTCACTGTGGCTGTATCCATCTTTTATACACAGACTGGACCCTCAGTCTTTATAACAGCAGGGGTCAAAGGTTCATATTTTTCCTTTAATTTGACACTTGTTTCCACATGAAATATACTGCATCTGCAAGTCTCGTTTTCCTTTCACACAAGCTGGACATTATAAACAAGAAATTACACAAGAAAGAGCAGAAATTGGAGACCGTGTTGAGTGTTTTCCTCCCGGGTGAGCTCATATCTGCAGGAGCTGTTTTCTTGTACCACTTCTAAGTAAATGCCCAGGGTATTGCAAAAGACCTTGGGTATGACACTGCCGGGTTCATCTGAGGATATTTTCCTGCCTTCCTTCCACGTTTCTGTGTCCCTGCACCCAGCGTCGCCGTGCTCCCACAAAGATATGCACGGTATTATGAGCCCAGTCCCTGGTGTGTCTGGTGCCCGCAGCCAGCCGCCGACGGCTCGCCTTGAAAAGCGAGGAGGCTGCGCGCACATCCCCGCACATCTCGCGCAACAACACGAAAGTCCCGCTGACATTAAAGCCGCAACCGGGGCAGGGACAGAGGGCTCCTGGAGCTCAGTAATAACCTGTTATCACCCTCAGCTGGCGTAAATTTAACGCGCTGTCAGACGCGATACAAGCTAGCTGCTGCGCAATCGCCTGGGAAATTAGGAAAAACGCCTTATTACGTTTTAAAACCGAGACCCCGACACTCCTGGAATAATTCACATTTACTCTACGTGATGAGGTTGAAACGAATTATACGCTTCAGCGACGTAAAGACCAGAAAACCGGTGGTTGACCCTGCTTCATCTCCGGTCCTTTAACGTATTTCGTGCAGAAAATAAAGCCGCTCTGCGACAAACGCCAGTGTTTCTTACCTTTGAAGTGTCCGCGGCTGTTTTATCGAGCCACTCTCTCCTAATTAACGATGACCGAGCTCCGTGAGACTTAGAAATAAATAGATAAGGGTGCCATTTATCTCTTCATTGCGGTCCCGTCGTAGCGACTCCAGACGGAGAGCTGCGCACGCAGCATCGTCAGCGGGTCTCTCCTCCCCCCTCCTCCCTCTCCTCCCCCAACACTAGCAGGGACAAAAAAGCGAATCAAGCAAACAAACAAACAAATCAATACTTAAAGTAAAAAACAACAACCCGTAAAATAATAATAAATAATTAACTTATAATTAACTCATTATTAATCATTCGTACTAATAAACATCCTAATCTTTTATGTTTGAGTATTAGACAATGGTAAAAATGAATGGAATAAATACTAAATATAACAAATAAATACATGAATTCATAAATTAATGTAATATTTATGTTTTATGCTTAAATATTGTGTTCCTGTAATTTTACAGATAAAACAAAGATAAAATAAATAATATTACTTTTTTTTTCATTATTAAAATTACAATTACGTGTCCTAACAGTTACAAAAAAATATAGAAAAATTCTTCCAGTTTTACACAGTATAAGTTTGTCTAGACATGTTTGTCTTGGTGAAAGTGTGAAATTTTCTGATAATTTCCTAACATTTTCTAATAAATCTTCTCTAATTTAATACTTATTTATAAGGATCAGTGCATAGGCTTATATTGTAACAGACAAGCCCAGATAGGCACCTTTTCATCTGTGCTAATGGTGCTCAAAACAAAGAACAACAACCAAAACAATATATTGAAAAATGATACTAGGTTAGTACACTCCCAATTAAATGAATCCACTTTAGTTTTTACTGGAAAATTCTGGGGACCTTGCAGGAAATTTAGGCGAGTACATGTCTGATAATATACAGAGAGCACTGTTTATAATAATCTAATTTTTTAATAACAAGGCAAGAAAAACAGCAAATACAGACATGACTGAATGTGTGGTACCTTGATCATAAACGTACAATGTACCATGGCTTGTTCATGAACCCACACAATCTTCCCATAGATACAATTTAGGAGCCAAATAGGAACAGCAGCATGTTTTCTGAGTGCTGACAGGCTTGTGTTTTATCCTTTCTTTTAGCTCCAGACAGTATTCGCCTGCTGACTGGCTGATGACAGAATCAGAGGAGAATGGAGTTTGGCAGCTGTAGATGAGTCTGGTAGTGACAGGCCTGGATGAACAGGATCCCCTGGGTCTCCATATCAGTCCCAGCCAGCCTCGGGCTCTGCCTTAGGGCCCTAGGGCCTCTCATTGTTCCGCAGGGATGTTGTTTAATGCACTTTAATGAGCCTCACAATGTACCCTGGTGGCATGATGGTGACTTTGGTGTGGTTACCTCCTCGATGTGCCCTCTCCCCCCTTCTGTCTGCAGTCAGTGTTACTCACATGAGATGAATGTGTTGTTCACATGCTGTAGCTCTCCTATCAGTACCAAAGCTGGAACAATGAATATAAGAGAGTTCGCCATCTGAAGGAAACATCTTTGGGGTATTTTTCTTCAAGTTTCTGTGTAGATCATACTAGAAAAATATGCCTCAACATACCTCATTACAAGTATACACTATTATAAACCCAAACAAAGGCTGGATATGTTTTTAAAAATTATCTGCCTACATTGGTTGCAGTTATATACATACTATATAACTACAAGTCGTGTGCTGTCCAAGCGCTGATTGCGAACAAGGCATTTTCTCCATTATGACAGTTTTCACATATTTGGAAGAGCAACAAAAGGACTTAAAATAAAGACTGTGAAGGGATGTGACATGCTAATAACTGCAGCTAAGGTCTGAGTCAAAGCAGCAAAGCCAAGCCAGGCTATTGGTGCCCCATCTAGAGTTAAAATGAATTTATGATACTCCGTTTGTGTCTGTTTGTGTAGGTATTTGGCTATGCAGACCGAAGGATAATGGGTCTGCAACAAATACAGACGTGCAACCCTAAAAATATAGGGTGTAGCTAGATGCTGAGGATGTTATGCATAGGCAGAACACTGATTGGTTGAAAGGTTGGTTTGGAGAAGAAAGCGTCAGTGAAAAACAACAATTGTTACAGATCAAGAAAAAAGCACAGCTGGTGAGATTAGATGATTTTATTTGACTTCAAAAAAGTTCTCCAGGGCAGAGTCTAAAGGAAAGCACTGACAGCAGCACAAACACAGACAGGAGTACTCAGCATTGCTGGGTACTGCATATATTTTGACTGCAAAGTAGGTTTTGAAGTCTTGTCATAGAACCAAAGCACAGTCATGCCACTCCCTTTAGGGTTAGGATTAGCATAGATTTTGAGTTCCGGATTAGCTAAAATATGCTTTTCTCGAGCTATTGAGGCAGTGCAGTATACAGCACTTCCAAGTTACCATAAAATTGAAGATTGATCATATGTAGAATAAACAATGGATGTAGCTTCCAGGTACAAATAGACAACGTCATGTCCAGTTTCCAGACACAAAGGTTGTAAAACCCCTCGACTCGAGATTTCATAACAAGACTTCACTAACCACTGGGTGACATCATGGCAGCTATGTTCATCTTTGACAGTGTCTATGCACTAGATGCATTCAGATGTAATGCACAAAGAGGCTGCATGAAAATAATCATCTATATAACATGTAAATGCTTCTGTGGAAATGTTATGCAAACCTGACTGCTTTATGAACCAGGTTTATGAGGAAGATAAAATTTAAAACTACTGGCAGCTGCTTACAGCATACATTTGCACAGTTGGTGCTTCAGTTCCTATCTGACGACACCTTTACAGAGACAGATATCTTTTTTACAGCAGGGTATTTACACAAATACTGCTGCACGATAAAACTACAAATATCTATTATGTAAATCTCAAAAAGTCAGTTTAAAATAATATATTTGTGTTAAATGAATAAAAAAAATGCCTTCCTTTTACAATAAACTATTAGGCCAGGGGCTTCCTTATTTGTCTATTAATGTATGAATCTTCACACAGTCTCTTACATTTGCAGTGAGCTGTAAATGTGTGTATGTTCTTTTGGAGGTCTTTGCTTGCCTTTGTCCTCTCTCTTCATAATTAAACAAAGATTAAAAAAAAAAAAAGCATTCTGGGCTGGCATTTTCTTTTTGAGCTGTGTACAGTGTCTACTGTACTGTCTGTAGAACCAGAGGGCAAATAATGACACAAAGCCTGATGTTCAGCATAAAGACAGTGAGAGATCTCAGACTTTAGTCAGACATAAAAGCTCGAAGGCCAGTTCCTCATGGAGAGATGCTGTCTAACCAAAAAAATTGTCTTATTCTGCTCACGCTATTCAGTGACATTGTGACACATCCCACACATTTCCCTTGAGAACAAAAATACTTGATTTCTCCCCACACCAGTCACGCCAAGCCATCATGTCTCCAGCGTTAATCGAGGTCTTGGTCAGCATGCCCTTTGATGGGCACCCAAACAGTCCAAGGCTTTGTTTACCTTTTTAAAAAAAAAAAAAATCCTTCACTCACAATCTCAGCTCAGCTGACGCGCAGTGACCGAGAACAAGTCGTTTTTGTCCGTCACGGGCCCGTCTGACATTAGCCAGAGCAACAAAGGAACTTAAAGCTCTGAGTGTGGAGCTGGCTCATGACCATGGAAGTGACAAAACATATGGAGATATGGCCTGTTAGGAACTGCAGCTAAGAGCTGAATCTGTCATACATAGGGAAACATGTGCAGACCCATTCAGATGTTTAAAATAATCACAGATGGGACACAAAGAGGCCTACGTGAAATTTACACTCAATTTGCATTGAATTACCCAGAGAACATCCTGCTGTGGACTCAGATGAAGAACTCCCTCTAGTGTTCATCTCAAATAAACCCCTAGAATGCACTATTCACACAGTCCAGACCACACCTGACACAGGTCATGATGAGAGTAGAAATGGAGATAAAGACACATGCAGGCTAGGCACTTGGTTATTCATCTTGAAAGGCCTATGGTCACTTATCTGGGTATTTCTTTTAAGAATTACATAAATTAACTTTGATTTAATTCTGTCTATAGAATCAAAAGTCAAATCTGATTAGAATAAATCAGATTAGACTTGACACATGAATGAACTTAACATAGTGGAGCTGACACAAGAGGATAAGACAGGGAACACTGAGGGAACAAATTAGACTCCAAAATAAGATTAAATTATAACATCCATCTATCAGTCTGACAGCTGGGATAGAGCCTATCCCAGCTGTCAGAGGCCAACACCCACGACAGGTCACCAGTCTATCACAGGGCTAACACAGAAGGACAACCAACAGGGAAAGCAAACAACCCAAAAGGTTCAAAAATCAAAATCAGAATTAGGATCACGACAAATCTGTGCTGCTTTATTATTTAGTATGCAATGAAATAAAGCCACTATTCCATTCTTGTCATCAGTTTCACTTTCCCACGCCATAATACTCAGTCTCGTCATCGACATCCAATTCAATTCAATTTTATTTATATAGCACCAAATCACAACAACAGTCGACTCAAGGCGCTTTATATTGTAAGGTAGACCCTACAATAATACATACAGAGAAAATCCCAACAATCATATGGCCGCCTATGAGCAAGCACTTCGGGGACAGTGGGAAGGAAAAACTCCCTTTTAACAGGAAGAAACCTCCGGCAGAACCAGGCTCAGGGAGGAGTGGCCATCTGGTGCGACCGGTTGGGGTGAGAGAAGGAAGACAGGATGAAAGACATGCTGTGGAAATGCTCTGGTCCAATAAGATTCTTTCCCACCTTCTAGAAACCAATCAGCTTCAGTTTTATGTATATTAAATGTATGTTGTTGTTATTCTGCTTTTCAGACTCCCATTCCTGCTCCACCTCCAGGTCTTCAGGTCTCTGCCTGCTTTACCACCTCTACAGCCAGCTTCTAGACGCCAGGGATTCAGTCCGATTCCTATTTTGAAAAGGACAGTAGTGCATTATTTCTTGATATATCACAACAACACTGATATCAGTTTATTTTTTAATGTTTTAACTGTCCGTATCATCTGAAACTATTTTTTTCTCATTCTTCAAATTGTGTAAGAAGCTCTGATCAGATCCTTTTTACTGGCAATTCAAAGGAAGCTGGAAAAAGCTCCCTCTTACTGAAATAAGCTGCTTTTAAATATGATCTCCCTGTCATCACTTTTCTTTTTCAAGCATGCTTTATCATTTTGCTTCCTTTATTTCTTATTCATTAATTCATTTAATAGATTTGTAAAATTTATTGCTATGTCAAGGGCTGATTTTTTCCCTTTATCTTGTTTTGAGATGTTTTGCATTGTTCTTTAAAAAACGATGATATGCTTAAAGAGGTTTATCCTGAGATATACAGTAGTGTGCAAAACCCTTGAGCCAACCTTCATTTCTTTATATTTTGCTTCTAAGGATAGAGACTTTCTTTTATTTATTTATTTTTAAAGAGGTCTACTTCTCTGGGATTGCTGAAAGTCTTTACAGGTCATTCTTTGAACATTGGCTCCATTCTCCACTCATTTTCAGTACACTTCTTGCACTTGACCAGTTTCAGACTCTATGAATAATTTAAGCATAAAAATGACATCAAGTAGTATGTTTTTAAACAATTTTGAGGAAATTGGACAAGTGATGCTCCAAAGAAGTGTCCGACCTAAAAAGCTATATACAGCACATGAACAGTATCTGAAAGTTGTGTCTGTAAGATTTTTTTTTTTTAGACAAGACGTGAGAGATGCATCTGGCCCTTCAGTGAATCCATCTGCTCACTGAAGACTCATCAGAAATGGTTTCAGCAAAAGAACTGAACTGAAACTTTGTGGCACTATGTCCTATGGAGTGATGAACCCAGATTTCAGCAATCTGGTTCAAAGATATCAGGAAAGAGGCTGGAGCCTATCCCTACAACCTGGACAGGTCACCAGTCTGTCACAGGGCAAACACATAGACACAGACAACCATTTGCATGTCTTTGGACTGTGGGAGGAAGCCAGAGTACCCAGAGAGAACCCACGCAAACATGGGGAGAACATGTAAACTCCACATAGAAAGACCTTGGCCTGATGGTGGAATTGAACTCAGGACCTTCTTGCTGTGAGGCAACAATGCTAACAGTGCCCTGTGCACCGTTCTATATGTAAGACCTGGAGGCAAATATGTAAAATATAGCCTTGTCATTCTTTTAGACCTCATGAAGTCTAGAAGTTGGCACATTTACTGGACATGCAAAAAAATGTCCTGAGGGTAGATGAGAAAGTGGGGAGAAAGTAATGATGGGTGACAGAAAATGGTCTGAGGAGAACTTCAGCCCTGGATCTAAAACCTTCAGAACATGGCTTACCTGCTGAAACAGGTGAGCTCATATTGGTGCCCAACATTGCAGTTAAGAAGCAAAGGCAAACGTAGCAAAAAACATAAAGTATAGAAGCTTAAAGTCATCTAAAATATGCATTTGGTTTTAAAAGCCAAACATGTGTTTTGGATATGAAGACAGTTAGACACTGTTATAGTCAAACTCTGCAGTGCTTTTTTACTTTTATAACAAAATGTATTTGTCTTCACTTCAACTAGATAAAAAGCCATTTGTCCTACATAGGTGTTATGAACTGTCAGATACACTGAAGGCATTTCAAAAACACTTTGAGTGGGTCTGATGGCAGATGGCAACTAATCTCAGAGCTGTGAAAGAAAATCCCATGGCAGCTTGTCTAACATGCTAGTCTCCCAACAGTTTCCCTGAAAGACCAGAGATTTGTCCACAATTACCATAAAAGTGTAAATGTAACCGGGTCATAAATTATATTTTGTTATAATTACACAAAATGTGTTCTAAACCCTACACTGTTCCTGGTATAACTGACTTTTAGGACCTCCAAGCCTGTAGTTATCTTCATTATCAGTTAGAACCCCTCCTCATCCTGTTCTTCTTCTATGGTGGAACCCTATAAATTTGGGGTACCTGTTTGGCCTCTCCCTTTTTCTACAATTCCCCTGTGAAAGAGGTAGGCATAATGTTTTTCCAACATTAATTATACCTTTATCTACCCTGATGTTTCTGCGTGTGTTTTAAGTTCATTTTTGTCATAATTATGCCTGTCTTTACTGCATGCTGTGAATATGCGGTATGTGTGTGCTGCGTATGTGTATAGGCACTGTTAATGCTAGCATGAACAGATACGTCTTGTTAGCTTGGAAGTTGTGGCTTGAGCTAACTTTCATCCCAACTGTTTATATTTGGCTACAGAAGCACGCAAGTTATTTACTAGGAGGTCTTTCTTTTTACCTTTCATTGTCAGGCACCACGTAGATTTACATAAACAACCAGCTGCAGGTCTCATAGCTCACCCACCTTAAGGCTTTACTGATGGCACATGGGCATAACCATCATAGACTGGTGGTTCCAGTAGAATCAGAAGCAAGCTTGGGGCTACAGATGGCAGTAATTTTAAAAGACGGATGTAAGCAGGGGAACTGCTTTATGACAAAAGTGTTTGAAATGCAAGAAGAGGCTTTCACTTTGGGAGGTTTTTACATTACATTTAGATAATACTGATAATATAGAAATAGATGCCTTGCTTGCCCTGACAGAAAGTATGACTAGCAGTTGAAAGCTAACAGTTCCCTAAAAACAAGCTAAAACTGTGAATAAACTAGACAAAAATAATTTTTAAAAATGCTAGCTTGGCTTAATGGATAAAAAGTTGAACTATTTAGCTATAAATAGTGATAAAATATTAAAATGTATTAGGTTTAAATGGCTAGCAGCTGATATTTTTGGCTAACAGTGAAGAGAAGCTAATTAAGTATTTAGCTAAACACAAGGGACAAACAGCTAAAATATATACCTATATTATAAATAAAAATATATATATTTTAGGTGTATGTGTGACTTCTATAGGTGTGTATGGCAGAAATTGCTGACAGTATAGATTAATGTTTGACATAAATAGCAAGATAAACATTTGATTAAAAATAAAAGATTTCAAAAATACCAGCAAACCTTTTGTGCGTCACGGACCGGTTTATGTCCGACAATATTTTCACGGGCAGACCTTTACAGTGTCATGGATAAATAGAACAAAATAAAACCAGTACTGGTACAAAAAAAAAGAAAATTTATTCATAACACACGGGAAAAGACCCAGGGAAACAGAGTTAACGATAAAAACTATAAAAAATAACAATAAAAACCCTGAAAAACATAAATTTCACACCTGAGCCTCAACTCTTGCGGCCCGGTACCAAACGACTCACGGACTGGTGTACTCACTTTTATGAAATACTGTAAATAACTAATGGTATGGATAAACAGGCATTAAACATACAAAGTGTAGGTAACTATATCTAACCCTAACCCTAATGCAAAGTCGAATAGAAATGTGTTATAAAAATATCTCAACATGATGTATTAATGACGACGGGGCTCGTGAGTCTATCAGACAGGCTGTGTTGTAAGAGTGCAACACGTGAAGAAAGGTTGGTATTTTGATCTGAAGTAGCCAGAAATTAAAGATACATGAGACATTTTCAAAGCAGTCACATTTATTCATCTTTTTATACACATTTGCTAAGCAGCCTGTTGTGCTAGCAGTTGGCTTTGATAGGATTTACTATAGGATTTCAAGAACGCTTACTAAAAAATAAATACAAGACAACGTGTTCCACAGCTCAAAAATATACAAAGGTCTGAAATTAATGTAAACTTTAAAAACATGTTTTTTTTATTTTACATAAGAAGCAATTCAACAACCTTTGTAACAATTCTAAAACGTTATTTAATTTACAAGTTTGTACAAAAAACCCCACTAAAACCTACAAGTACTGTATACAGAGGTTGGTCTGTATCTAGATGAAATGCATCTAGTACCGTAAGTTTAGTTCTTTATTATTGGTTTGTGTTTTCAAGAACATTTCAGTCAAGTAAACGACAACAGTTCAATGCCACCACGTGTTTTTAGCCTTTGGTAGAAGCATTTCTGTACTTCACTCCTAAAGCATCCTCGGGGTGTGAATATTATTAAACAGCTGCATGTACACATCTATAAATATCTCCAGGTACAGCAAGAGACAAAAAACTTCACAAACATCATTTTGTCAGTGCAGGAAAAAAACAAAAAAGTTGGAATGAAGGTTCACAGACTTAACTCATTGTGTACCCTGTTATATAGTGTTATTAATATGAAAATTAAAAGGGTATTGACAGCATACCTACAGGGAAGAACAAGGCTTCTGCCAGTTTTGCATAAGGTTTGAGTACCATCACTCCAATAAGCTCCATGTACTTATAAAATTATGGTGAATACATGGGACTAAAATATACCAGGGTTACAACCAAAACCTTACATTTATATTTTTGGCGTTTAATTACATTTTTAATGAAATTTTATAATTAAGTTTCCAATTTGTCTCTGCAACCAGTGTCTCGTATAAGATCTAAAACACATCTCTTATGAACAAAATAAGTATGTGAATAAAAAATAAAAATTCCAGCACTTCATTGCATATTTTTGATCAAAGGTTTTTTGTGTATGTTATAAAAATAAATATATTTAGATTGGTTTGAGACAGAAAATATAGAAGTTATATTTTTTTGAATATTGAGGGGCAGAAAATGCCAAATCCAGACATTTCTCTTTTCAAGAGACTTAATAACCCGGCTCCATATTTAACCATACAATCAAAAATCTCACAAAAACACTCAACTTGCTGTGACCTCAGCTGCTTCACCACATATTTTCTCCTGTTGGATAAAATAAGGCATATTTGATCCTCTGAGTACTTTCCACTTGCCTCTTTCGACAATGCATAAACACATCATGTCAGCAAACCAGAAATGACCATTGGTAAGTTTTTCTTTATGACTTCAGCATTCTCTTCCAGCTCTCCGAGTTCCCTGCCTCGAACTTTTTGATCACTTTTTCATGTCCCATGTTAACACCTGCTCCTTTCTTGTCTCACGAGATTGTCAAGTTAGTGCTCGGCTTTGACACTTCCTGTCTCACCAATAATTACGTCTTCCATTTCTTGCTATATGTACAGTATGTTAAAATATTCTAATAATAAGCTTTGATATAATTTAGTATATGACAAACTGAGTAAAATATACATAGTATCAATTCTGTTTACAGGAAATATGAATAGGGACTGAATGTTGACATTTGTCAATTCTGATGTTCATTTTGAGGGTATTAAAATCATTCGATGTAACTGGTTAGAGGAAATGTCCGTCTAATTGTATTCACAGAATACATACGGTTAATTATAACAGATCAACTTCTCTTGCTTATTTCTAAAAACGTTACGTTGTTGGGTTGGGTCTACAAGACTTTGGGAAATGTGCCTTAAACTAACAGAACAGCTATTAAACTCATTTCCAGCTCCATACTTTTATTTGCAGACTCTAGAGTAGCTTAGAGTGATTCACAGTTCATAATAATGCTTATTTATTTTATATGGGATGGTACCGCCTCTGACCATACTGGGGATCTCCATTAATTCTGACAGAGTTTTAGGTCAAAAAAGATTACTTTTAGGTGCACTGACCTCATTATTATACCTTGAACTCTGGCCATGTGTTGCTATGAGCATCACATATATATGGAAGCCTGTTTCCGCCACAAAAAAAAAGTATTCATAACTCCAAATTTCGAGTTATCTTTCTCAAAAAGCAACTTAACATTTTGACTTACTTTTCTTCAAAATTTTGAGTTAGTAACTCGCCATATCCTTCTGGTTAACAAGAAAATGACGTCATTCACGTAGATTACTGATTGGCAAAGCTAACTCTAAATTTGGAGTTACTTTTCTCAAAACTTTGAGTTAATAAGTCGAGATTCCATACATATATGATAGAAAATAAAGAAAAGAAAAATAGGTCCCCGTTTAAATTTAGAACTGAGAAGATTTTCCGGTTTGTAAATCATATTTTTCCATATAATGCAGACGCAAAACAAGAGCCAGCTGTTCATTTCATAAAGATGTTTTCTTAGAAATGCAGTCTGTATAAAACACCATCAATTACTAAATTTATGATTTTCTTTAAAAAATGTTCACGTTTGTCTAATTTTCTCTCCTTCTCTCCTCATTCTGGTCCATCTTTTTTTGTTTGTCTGTTTGCTGTAAACTAATAAAATTACTTAATTATTGCTTTTTTTTTATGTGGAGCCCTGCGATGAGTGGTCGTCATGAGGGCTCCCATCCGAGTTCTCTGTCTCACCCTCAGAGATGGCCTGCATGGGCGTTGAGTACAGCCTGCTGCGCATGCTGTAGCGGCTGCTGTTGGCAGGTGGTGGGATCCTGGAGCGTCCCTGCCTTGAGGCCGCAGATGTATGGAAGGATTTAGGTGAAAAGCCCTCTGCGTTGGTTTTCAAGTAGGGGCTGGAAAGGTGGTCTTCTCCTGATTGGGACTGCTGCTGAGGGAAGGTGTTGTCGTCGGGGTGTCTGGGTGACTCCATTAGAGTGTCTCCAAGTGATTTAGGGGTGATGGGACTCTTGAGGATCTCTGTAGCTGACATGCGGTAACTAGTGTCGGAGCGGCTTCCTTTCTTAAGCAGCAGTAGTTTGAACTCCTCGTTGGAGGTACTGGACTTTTTTGCATTCCTGTAGATGGGACCGGGGACTCTGTGCAGGCCAGGTGGGGTCACAGCGGAGGAAGGTGATGCCACAGAGATAGGGGAGCTTGCAGTGCTGTTAGGTGGCGTGTTCCCCGAAGCGCCACTGAGGCGATTCCTCACACCCAACTCGGCAGAGTCTTTTCTCCCCAACACTTTCCTTTTAGACCTGAAGAAGACCACATTGGTTAAAGAATTTCTGTACATTTTGAGTATACACAAACAAAATCCTATCTATCTAAGATACTAACCTGTGTATCATAGCGAATAAATCCTCAGTGGTGCGAGATTTAGTGGGGGACAGAAACACGGTGTCATCCTCTGGCCTTGACTCATCATGCACTGAGGACAGAGTGCTGTCACTGAGAGTGGAGTCTGTTAACAGGAACATTTCACACATATGAATATACTGCATCCTGTATATTCCACACTAACCATCCATTTAGCAATTTTTCATAATTTGTTTTGTTCAAAAAGCTCATTCAATTATTAGATATATCAAGTTTCAGCAGCTTTTGTATAAGTAAAATTACAGAAGAGATTCAGTTTACATACATAAAAAAAGATCGTTTCCGCACCCTTAAAATTTATCTTGCACCTCCATCCTAGAACTTTTATTCACAATTAACAAGCTCTATGATCCTTTACAGGGGTCAGCAATTTTTTGAGCCATAAATCCTATTTCAGAGAATATTCCCACAATTGGAAGAACTTAGGGACAAAAACAGGCAGAATTGACCTCCATCCACCCATTTTATTAAATGTTTATCCAGCTCACAGTCTCAGAGGGGCTGCAGTCTACCCCAGCAGTCACAGAGCAAAATGAAGGGTACATCATATCAGCCTGAGCAGGTTGCCAGTCCCTCACAGGAGCAGAGAGAGGCAGATAACCACACAGTCTCACATCCAAACCTACAGGTAATTCAGAATCACCAGTTACCCAAACACACACACAGCTTTGTGTCACAGGAGGAAGTCCAGACAGGCACACAGAAATCATGCAAACTCCACACAGAGATGACAGACCTTATTGCTGTGGCAGCGCTAATGACTGCAACAGACATTACAGAGGCAAAAAGCAGGAGAAAAAGGTGCAGAGCAGAGAGTTGCATTGAGTACAAACTGGGGTTGAGGAGGGGATCACAAGGACATTAAGTCATTACCTTTACTAAAATAGTCCTCCATGTCTGGCATGGACTCCTTGCTTTCCTGTGAGATACATTCGGATGACTCGCCCAATGAATCCATTTCTTTGCTGTCTTCATTGCTGATTGGACTGCTTTGCAGCGTCTCCGACTGACTGTCAGTAGCAGGCACTTTATCCTGACTGCTGGGTCTATTGGGGGAACTGTGTAGGACAGGAGGAGGAGGAGGAGGATACGCCTCTTCTTCTTCTTCTTCAGAGTGCTGTTGCTGTAAAGTCTCAGACTGTGAGCTGAAGTCTCCGAGGCAGGCAGGTGTTTCTGGCAGCTCTCTACAGGTCTCTCTTTCTTGACTTCTGGTTTGTTCGGGGACTTCTGGACCTTTCTGGTTCAAACATGAGTCTGACTGGAGCCTGGCTGTTGTCACACACTTTGCAGGAGCCTCTTGCTCCGGCTCGTTCCTCGTCTCAGTCTCACATGCTGACCTTCCACTTGTAAGCTCTTCATTTGAGGTAAACACACCTGACTCCTTTGAGGATAGGTGAAGATGATGGTGGTGTGAGTTGTACAGTGCGGGACTCTTAAGCTCTAAAGATTTACTAGTGGAAAGTTTGCTAGGTGAGTTCACAGTGGGATATTGGAATTTGGAAGTGGTGTGATTTTCATGCTGCGCCTTACTGATCGATCGGAGGTGTACTGAGTTCAGCACCGTGGGCGTAATGGACAGGCAATGGGCGTTGAATACCTCTGGGTTGTGAGGTACTATAGGCTTGGCTGACACTGCTGTTTTTTGTTTGTTTTGGTGAAGGATTTGCATCTGGGTCTTGTAAGCTGTCGCCTTGTTGTTGACGCTATGAAGGACACTTAAGTCGAGATGAGAGGGAGGGATAATTGGCAGCTCCAGATCTCTCTTTGAGGTTGCACCATCCCTAGAGGACAGTGACTGAAGTGAAAGTGATGAGAGAGAGGACTTCCTCTCTGGGACTTTGGGCTTCCTTTTACCACTTGATGGAGACAGTGGCCCAGGGAAAAAGGTAGAGGGAAATGAGGAGGTGGGTGTTTCTGATTGACTGGAGTAGCCACTGGATGGGCTTGCCAGGCCTGCCAACTTCTCTGGGGATATGAGCTTGAAATCTTCCTCGACTGATGGAAGTGAAGGGGTGGTAGCTCTGGAGCCAGACTGGGACGTCTGCGACTCAGAGCTATCCTGTGACTTGATGCATTCAATAACCGTCGTACCTGTAGCTGTGCTGGAGTTTGACAACGATCGGTAAGGATCTGTGGATTTCAAATCATTCAGGAGCCACAGATCTGCATAGTCTGACTGCAAAACCCCCTCATCCTTAAATGAATGTGTATCTGTGGAGACTAAGTCGGGTAGATCAGCTGAGCCCTCAACCCCCCAGCCTACCCGGGTTTCTCTGACCAGTGAGGAGTTTTCAGTGTGAGCCAGAGAGCCAGACAAAGCCAGCTGCAGTTTCCTCTCCTTTGCAGACAGATGAAGTTGCTGCCCACATGTAATCTTTGGTTCTTTCTTAATAGGGATGTTTCCCTCACTGCATATTTTCCTTAAGGAGGAGCTCCTCTTAGGTGGCGATGGCTTCACCTTTGGTTTTTTTAAGGAGAGGCAGCGTCTTCCCAGTGTCATGTGACCACTTGAGTCTGACAGGCCACAGTCAGTGCCTGAGGGTGCATAGTTATTATAAGTGAAGCTTTGGCTACCTTTCAAGCCGCAGTCAAAGTGCATGGAGGTGTAGTAACCTTCGTTGTCCACAGAGTAGTGCGAGACGGTGTCTGCTTTCTCTGACGGTGGTTTGTCGGAGAAGCTGCTCTCACAGGTAGCCATACTGGTGAAACTGGGGCAGCCCAGACTGCTCTCAGCCTCTCTGCTTGGCTCGGGGCTGAAGCCCTGTGACCCCGGAGGCTCTGGATTGGGGTAACTCCACTCCCCCTCGATGGGATTGCTGACACCAACTTCTTCTAATATGTCCATAGCTGTGGAGGAGAAGGAGCCTGCTCTTTGGGTCCTGAGGCCCTGATAGTGGTCCAGCAAGAAGCCTGTCTGGTCATCGTTAGTATGAGTGGCAGCGTTTAAAGAGAGCTCAGAGTCACAGTGGGAGGAGCCGGTCAGAGGTGGAGATGCGGCAGGAGGGATTGTTTCTGATGTCTGGGAGGGGCATGTGGAACTGCTCCCGCTCCAGTTCCCGCTGGAGGACTGGTGGTCCTCCTTATGGTCTATCTGGCCGCCCAGCACTGCTGCAGCAGAGATGGAGTGCATAGGGCTGCTGAAGGTGTCCGAGCTAGATGAGATCTCACAGCTGCCCATGTCAGCTTTTCTAGGCAGGTGAGATCTGGTCCGTTCCATCCAGCTGCGCTCCGGACTCTGTGAGAGCTGCTTGTACTTAAGGCTTCCTAGCTGGTGTTCAGACATGGCCTGGTCATCAGTACTCTCCTCTTCATCCTTCAGAGTCAACTTCCTAGATCCAGTCAGAAACCCCTCAGTGTCGAAGGGGGAAAGGTCCTCCTCATCGTCGCTGTCGTTATGTCCGTTGTCCAACATTCGGCTGGTGTCTCGGGGCAGACTCCGAGAACGCAGGTGTGCTCCAACGGAGGCACTGAACATGGCGTCCGAGGTCTCAGGGAGGGAGGAGATGTTTCCTGCAGAATGTGAGAGGGAGAGGGAGACTCCCGGGCCTCTCTGGAGCCTGATCCTCCTTCGAGATGGTGCTCCTGAGATCAAAAAGTCTTCTGTCTGACAACCCGAGTCTCTGGTGTTGAGATGGCTGGCAAACTCTTGCATGGAAGGGGTGATATCTGCACTGGCGTGAACTATCACTGTCCGCTCTCTGGAGCCAGGAGAGTCATCAGAATCTGTGAGAAGCAAGACGCACACAAAATACAAGAATAAGAAATTCAAATGTCTTTCTTCATGTATTTAAAGGTAACCTGTTATAAAAAAAATACTTTCAGGTGCTCCACTTGTCACAAAGTGTCACCACAGGAGGTGGTTGCACGTTTGATTTGGCAGATCTTTACACTTTTGCCCTTCCTGAGAGAAACTGCAAGGGATTTGTGTCTGGTGTAATGCTTGTCTTTATGTTCTGTCATATATAAACTGCTACAATTGTGGATGCTCAAATCAAACATGGCCAAAGTTTCAAATAAGAAAATCAAGTATATATGTAGAAGTAATCCTTGTGAGTCAAACATGCTTGAAATACTCTTTCAGGCAGTTTTTCTATTCTTGGTTTGTGACGACGTCACTGAGAGGGATATGCCAAATATGATAATTTCAGCCATACAGTGGAAGGACCTGTACAGCTTGTTTTGGACAGGACGACCTGCATTAAGGCCCAGAAAAACATAAACAAGCATTATTTTGAACTGTGAATCACGCAAAGCTACTCTAAGCATGGTCCAAGAAAACTAATATGGAGCTGGAAATGAGCAGTATGAGTGGGGTGGAGGAGTTCCAACCGGCACTTTGCATCTTCCCATCTTATTTTCCATCAACTCTGCTGTTGATGGTCCAATGAAAATATTATAGGGATAGTTAACCACTAAATACAGTTTGCAACACTGATAGATGCACACTTCTTAATACACAGTTAAATTTGGTAGCTGTAGTTTGGTAGAAAGAAAACAGTACCCATATGAAGTTCTTTAAATGTATTTTTTGGAGAACCACTGTATTCAATAGAATACATACATCTACAAGTCTGAATTGGGTACTAACTCAGTCCAAAACAACAGTGATGAATAAATGTGTAGTAGGTAGGTATCGTGCTGTCTAAAAAAATCTTAAAATAAACATTTTCCCTCTTATTATAAGCTTCTGGTATTTTTTAAGTCAGGGGAAGCTGTTTGTCAGCCACAAGTAAATGCAAAAATGCAAAAAAAAACCCCCATCCTACTTAATACCAGATACTAGGCCAATTGTGTGGTGGAATTAAACGGCATTCAGCAAACATGAGAAACATTTAAACCCCACAACTATGAAAAGGTTGTGAAAAATAAATGCTAACAAGGTCCACTAGGTAAAATCAAGCAAAGCAAGCATGTGACAAGATTACCACAACTATGCACAGTAATTGAGGAGCAGTTTGGATTTGTTTCAGGATAATTCAAACAATAGTCAAAGTAGTCCAGATAGTATTTTAGTAATTATCTGAGTTAAAAAAAATTATACTATTTAACTATGCATTTAGTTCAGAAAGCAGTACTGGCCAATGTGAATTTGGTATTCAAAAATACCTTATAATTGTAACATATGCTCTTGTGCATGACACTCACTATTAGTTCTAGTAACTACATAAAACAATAGAGGAAAAACGAAACTGAATCAAGTTTGTGTTCGCATGTGTCAGTTTAAGGAACATACCTAAGTCTCGCTGCACCTGTCTCGGAACGCCGGCAACAGTCCTCCGTCTCCTCAGCTTCCGTCTCCTCTGAAGCAAAGACTGCGAGTGAACGAGCGAGCAACGCACACTAGCATCTCTGTCAAAGCCAACCCCTGCAATGGAGACAGCACATCTGAGGAATCTTTGTTTGGTGGCGACTGCAGAGATTCCTTCTTTAACTCTCACGCTGTCACATAAAGAAACATTTAAGGTGACGCTCGGCTGTACCAAATTTAGGTGTTGCACAAAAATAGCAGTGAGGAGTGGAGCAAAGAGATCTGACAGAACTCAAAGTAGTAAGTTATTTACTGCTTAACGTAATGACAAGGCAGTAATTGTAAGAAACTTTGGAAAAGGACAGAAAACAAATGGTACTGAACTGATGATGGGTTTTGTACAAATAAGAGAACTCCTGATGTGCAGGGTTCTGCTTTCCCTCTCTATATGATTTACTGTCATGTGATTGCAGGTCAGAGCTTTCAGCTCCATAGCGATTGCTGTGCTTTGCTTACAATGTGCATTTTTTACCCTCCACTGTCTCTGACTCGGCCGGTGTTGTTGTACAGCTCTCCTTTTGAGTGAAAATGAGCGAGAGTAAATAACGTCAGGCTGCCCTTTTCAACAATCTGGACAGAACTAATCAGCATTCATGTCACTGCATCTCGCCTCTTTGCAACAGCAGGCACAAAGCGTCAAAGGATGAGAAACAAAGTTAACTGGGCACAAAGCATGACTTGCACATTGAGAGTGACTGGAGCAACATTAATTGTGGCTTGTTTAGTAGCGATTGAACTGCAACACTTCCTTATATCTTCCAGGTTCTTCATTGTTTCAAGAAAATTAGACAGTGAACACAAATTTTAGTATCATGAGGAAGAGCCAAAACCAAACATTGTTCATTTGAGCACATATAGTTAACTTCATCTCCCTTTTAGTTTTCAATTTATGTTTTTTTTAACAGTTTAATATACTTTTAGTAAATAATTTTCAAATGTTTAATCACAGCTTTTAGCAAAATACTGTCCTATTTATCCATTAACCTAGCTTACAATGTTGTTAGTAGCATTAGTTAACAGTTTTAACTGTTAATCCATAAATTTAGCTTATACTTTACCATCTAGGAAAACCTTGAGTAAATAATTCACAAGTGTTTGTTACTAATGTTAACATGCTAGTCTGTTTCAACAGTTTAGTTTCAATTTTTGTTTGTAGTGTTAGCTAGCAATTCTGTACTTTAATATTTACTACTGTTTTCATATACATGTAGATAACACCTTTTAAATAAAAACTTTAAGTTAAAAAAAAATGGCCAACATATTAAACTAATATTTCTTCTTCTTTTTTTTTGGATAGCATTATCTAATATTTTCAGCTGTTAATCCATTTAGCTAAAAATGATTATAGCTATTTGCTAACAGATTGACTGTTAGGACTTACTACTTGTAATTTACTAGAATTTAACAATTTTTATAAATTATGCTGAAAAATTAATCTTTTTTTTGTTGCTAATTTATAACAGTGTTATCTAAAAATATAACAGCTACCCATATGTTTACATTATTTACTACTGCTTTTCAGCTCCATTACTTTCAGCCAGGTTAATAGTTTTGCTAACTTTTAACTAGATTAGCTAATTAGTAATTAGTAAATCCCTAACTTATGGTAGAAGTAAAAAATATTAAAATACCTTTTTTTTTACTGAGTGTTAGCAAGTTGTGTCGCTACTCTAAAAATATAGCTATGGGAAAGTGATAGCTTAGCTTGCCAGCTCTAGCAATCAGAAGAAACAGAGGGAAAGAGCTAGCTTAGCACTATGTACAAATCAACCACCCCCATGACCTATAATGAATATGGGTACATAGGAAGGCCAGCGTGTAGAACTACTGCTATAACGGCTAATTAGCCTGAAAAAGGGGGTGATTTGCTTATTTTAGCATGACTGAAAACAAAGATTAAACAATAAGCTTGGCTTTGCTAAAATGTATATCAATCCAACTACCAGCAACTCTTTCTATTTCTAATGAAATCTTTATATCACTTTTTTTTTTATTTTGAGCAAAGGTAAAATGTAAATTTACACTTTTATGGCAAGACTGGTGCCTTAAATTTCATTCTGCCAAAAATCACAAAATGATTTTTAAACACTTCAGATTTGGAAAGATTTGAAAATACATTATATGAGCTGTAATTACAATGTTTCAGAGCTGCCTCTACGCTGTGCGTCTTTGCTTTTTCACCTTCCAAAGTCAAGCAAACTGGCTCCTTGTTTCCAGTCTTTATTCTAAACTTAATATAAGCTGGTTGTTGCTTTGTTGTCTGAGTGGTATCAATATTCCTATTTAACACTAAAGGAAAAAAAGTTTATATGCAGGGGAAAAAAAACCCAGAAAGGTGGCTGCAACTGCTGACAACTGCACACCACACCTTAGTTCAGTCACAACAATCAGATTCAGTGATTTCAATTTACCGGTCACATTAATGGGGATGACACATGAGGTGATGACTTGGGAATTGCTTTTCATTCTCTCTTCTGGAGTGGGCAGCGGCAGAGCTTTACACCAGTTAGTCTGCTTGTCCAGGGTGGAGGGGATGTTAGGGATGGGAAACTTAGACCGGTGACCTAGAGCCACCCCGTCAGAGTCGGGGTCAGAGGGCGCAGCCTGCAACAGATGGATATTTGCATGGTTAGATTGTTAAGGTTAGGCCAGCATTACATGAAATATGGTTTGGTGGAGTTAGAAAGTGACCAAACTCAGCTTCAGGAAGGGGAATGTGCTGATTAAAGTAAGGGATTAGACTGGTATTGTCCAAGTGTTTATCTGGGAAAGAACTGAAGAGTAGATGAAGAGATTAGTGTCTTATTAATAATCTGCAGCAGTCAGTGCTCCCGAACAGAGGTAAATCAATACGCATGCCCTTCCAGCTGCTGAGTTTAATGTTGGAGTGCAAAGAAACCATTAAGTCATGGAAATGAACAGCATGCTTCGGAAAAAAGGGAGAATGGAAAGCACAAGAAGCATTCAAAGAATCTCTACGTCATGCAAAAATTAAGGTTCAGAAACCCGACTGTGTCCGAGCCTCAGGCTAATAAAAAGTTTGACACACACACACACTACAGAACACGTCTTGACAGATACTTTACAAATAAATAAAATGATGCCTCCTTCACTCACAGGATATGACAAACTATAACTTCAATTCTTAGCTCATGCTCCAACATTCCAAAATTTTTCCGAGTGTCTCCTGCATCATAACAAGTGTCCAGAAATCTCTGAGAGGAAATACTTCACAGCAGCGTTCCTCAACCATGGGCCTCCTCAGACTCTGCAGAGCCACTTGTCTTTATATCTGCATGCTAAATGAATTTCTTACCTTGAGATTCCAACACAGAGACACATGTGAAACTGGGAGTGATTCTCAGTTTCAACTGGTTCCCACCTCCACAACCCGACAACCTCCCACCCCCATTTAAAGGCAACCCTCGAGCCTTTGTGCTCCCTGTTCCCAGCAGACCAATGAGACCCTGACAAAACCCCGACCACAAAAGAAACTGGTTTCCTTGGAAACTTCTCGCAACTAGGAGGGAAAAAAAAAAAAATCAAAGGAAGACCATTTACAGCTGATTTGTTTTGAGAACGGTTTCAGGAGTGCCTGAGAGGAGGGATGAGCCGGCTGAGAGAAAGAGACGAGGGTTTTGAGAAAAAGGAGGAAGAGTGGGCACGTACGGGATGAGGGGAAATAAAAAAGGAGCGGCAGAGTTTGAAGCTCATTCCTGTCTCACGACGGGCATCAAGCACGATACTTGTTTAAAAAAAGAAAAGAGAATCAAGAGAGAAACACGAGGCTGTCAGCTGTGCAGTGGGGAAACCACAGCACAGAGGGATCATGGGTAATCACAGGCGCAAGTTTCGAGAAGCCGACCCTATCATTAGAGAAACCCGGGCGGCTGTGATTGTGGCCCACATACACATTCCTCACATACTCCAAGCCCTTCATATGAACTCAAACAACAACAACAACAACAACAACAACAGTATGTAAACATGTGATGTGTGGGTGAAACTTTAAAGAGGTGCTCGCCTTCAGTATCACCCCACCCTCTCAACCGGGTGGAGCAGGATGGCTACTACTGCCAGAAAGAGAGAGGGCATGCATTTAAAAAGAGATAAGTAGAGGTCAGTCGGGGCGGACATGTGAAATAAGGTGTTAGGAATAGGAGGACGGCGAGGGAGGGAAGGGACCAATACCTTTCTGCTCCAGGGAGAGAAGTGGCAACATTCGGTAGGGGAGGAGGAGCGGGTGGATTCGAACTGAATTACAGGGTGAAAAACAAACAAACAAAAAAGGACAAAAACACATGGCAGGAATGAACATGGAGATCTTCAACACACAAATATAAGAGACAACATTAGGGAGGAATATGAACACTGAAATATTTGGGTCAAGGCAGGCTGGTGAGCTGATGCTGAACCAGTTATGGTGATGAAAAAATGAATAAAACATGAATGAAGCAGCACACACGTGACAAACACAGTCCCCTTTACCTGTGCTAACTGTGTCGTTGCATCTCTAAAATGCCTCTCTGGCTCCTTTGATCAAAGGAAATAAAAACCATACAAATATTATTTAAAGGGAAATCATTATGCACATTTCCAACTACATTTTTAAAAAGATTCTTGAAAACTCTGAGTTGTCTTATACTGTTTTAACTCCCTTTCCCTCCCTTCATCAAGCCAACTTTCTTCTGATTGGCTCCCCTTCTCGGACAGAAGGCTTGGACAGGTGTAATGGTCATTTTTTCAGATGCTGCTTGCTGCTCTTCATTGCGCACAAGATGTCTTTTAGCATCAAGGCATTGAGAGATAACCGTCCCGTTTTAGAGGCCATAAAGTCTGTGTCAGTGATGGCGGTGGCAACGGTATCCTGCGAGGCCATAAGTTGCTGGTTTCCATGTGTTTTTTTGTTTGTTTGTTTGGTTTTTAGTTGCCGTTTAGTTTTTTGCATTTTTCCTTTTGGTTTGACTTGTCAAGCACGAAGATTCTTGGCAGGGTTTATGAATAAATTGACCATAATAGAAAATGTAAGTCAGGGGTCTCGAACTCCAGGACTCGGGGGCCGGTGTCCTGCAGGTTTTAGATGTGTCCTTGATCCAACACAGCAGATTTAAATGGCTAAGTGACTTCCTCAACATGTCTTTGACATGACATGTTGACACATGTCATGAGATCACCCTGGATGAGATCTAATACCTGCAGGACACCGGCGCTCGAGTCCTGGAGTTCGAGATCCCTGATGTAAGTGAAACTTAGTGGTTTGTAGCACAATAAGTGGACAGTTAAACAAATACAGTAGGAGAAAATATAAGGCACATCTGAATGATTTATGACTGGGAATGCAGTTGGAGGCTAACTACACAAGCAGAGCCTCAGTTATGGTCACAGCACAGTGTGTGCTGTAATGTCATCGCAACCCTCAAACCATTCATATTGGTGCTTGACGTGTCTCAGTTCAGAAAGAAAGCTCTGCATCAGTGCTGGTACGGACAGATTTGTTTCACAGTTTTTCCAGAATGGATTTTCCATCTGATCATTTTCTGTGATCTGGGACAGGCTATTATAGCATTTAGCTGTACCATAATATACTGGTACTGAAGATAACCTTGACATTTAAAAATAAAACTACAATATTTATATAAAAATGCATATTAGAATATTATAAATAACAGCGTCATTACTAAAACACAACCGGGTGTAAACTAGTGACAACATTTCATTAGTTTACAGTCTGGGAAAGGGAGGAGACTGACCTGAGATCATATAAGGAATATCTGCTCTTACTGACGTCAGCAAGAGCCAAGATTGGAAAAAAAAAACTGTCTTAAACTCAGTGTTTGTCTGAGCTGTTGGCTCACAGGGATTACTTGTATACGCACTGACCTCTTTATTGGAAACTATGGCCATGGGTAGTAAAAGCACTGACCACTGGTGTGGTATATGTAAGAAAATAAATAAAAGCAGATTAAGTTCCCCTTAAAATGCAATAGAAGCAACATTTGAATATCAAAAGATGATTATTTTTCACTTATTGACAGGGATTCATCTGTGTCTATCAATATGAATTATAGCGATGTTGTCACTGGACTTGGTGATTTTCATACTGAAATCAAGAAGATCTTTTAAAGCAGTTTGGATCACAGTCGAGGACAATCGTCTCACCGTTGTTAAATTTGTTCCCCTCTGAGGGGGGGGACACATGGGCATTGGGGGCACCGGCGAGATTGCGATGGTAACTCTCCGCTCCCTGCTGCCCGATCGTCTCCTCTGGTGATCTGCAGCAAAAAAGATGTAAAACACTGAAGATCGATTGTATTTGTTCACTGAGATAATAAAATATAAGTGTCGAGAGGTGTCACATGCAGACCGACATGCGGGGTCAGATTAATCTGGTTAGATATGACTCCTTGGTCAGCCATTTTTTCTGCATTGAATTTACCCAGGAATTATTGTGTAGTGTTGTGCTTAAGAGTGCATGACTAAAGTGATTTTGATGAATTCATAAGTGCACTTCTTTGATGCTTGACTATTTATGTTTTTTTTTAAGTTGTAGATAGACTGTCTGTGTGAAAATGGCCTCTGAACATGCTTGTTATTTACGTTGTAGTTGCACAACATGTCCACTAGAGGGCACGATGCCTCCAAACACAGGCTGCAGACCTGCCTGGAAGGATGCATGTTATAGCTGAAATGTTTTTAAATGGCACGTAAGGGAAAAGTGAAGCAGTTTATTAACTAGGCATGACAGAGAGCAGCTTTCCCTCCTGTGTTGCAATCTGAGGAGCTGAGTGCTCCTGAGGGCCTCACCTCGGTGCAGGGCCCACAGGCTGGTTTTGGCTTGCCTGTGGAGCTCTTCCACACATTCTGGCCGCGTAGAGGGATGGAAAACGTTCCTCTGCTGATGCCAGGGAGCTTGGTAGTGTGCTGTCAGCTTACTCTCCACATCCAGGTTAGATACCGCTGTCAGGGAGAGAGAGATAGGTAAAAATGACAAACCTTTTCTAGTGAAATTCAACAGTGTGGTCACAGACAATCCAGAGTCATAATTTATAAGGCACAAGGGCATCTATATGATCCTAAAACATCTCACTGAAGCACAAATTAAGCCACACCTGTGTGACTAGGTAATAGTTTGAAACATGTTGCTTTACATTGGAAGTTTAGTGAGGAGAAATGGTCACAAAAACATCTCAATTGAATGAGCCTTCCATTAATAGAGAAAGCTCCAACAATCAGACGAACCTCTATGAGTAATCACTTGGTTTTGCTATTCTGTGGGAAGCAACGTTTTTCCAATCGTCTGGAAAAAGCCACTTTAAATCTTAGCATCAGTTTCAAGTTCCTAACTGACTGTAGAGGCACCAGGTGTGAACTTTTGCTGCTGTAGCTCATCGCCTTCAAGCTTTGAGATGCTCTTCTGCATATCTTGTTTTTAACAACTGGTTATTTGAGTTACTATTGCCTTCAGCTTGAAGCAGTCTGGCCATTAATAAGCCACTGTCACCCAGAGAACTAACCAAATTGTTTGCGGAGGATTTAAGAGACACTTCAAAGTCACCGTCCTTCCCCATTCTGATGCTCTGTTTGAATTTCAGCAGGCTGTCTTGACAATGTTTACATGCCTGAATGCATTCATTTGGTGCCACGTGATTGGGTGATTAGATACTTGTATTAACAAGCAGGTAAACCTAATGAATTGGCTGGTGGGTCATTAATTAGTTAATTTATTCTGTCACTTTATCGAGACCAGCTTTTCATCATAATTAGCTGATATTTCACTAGTTTATCCAACCTGTTATCTGATAACTTTAACAGTCAGATTTTTATCGTTCATGGATTTCCTTTAAAGGACAATGGCTACTATCAGTCCATTATTTCCTCATGCTTCTTGTAACCCTTATTGAGACATGATGGCTGCATCACGGAAAGGCAGCTTTCATCACGACTGTACTGGACGTTCATTCAGGCATTTTTGTGGTTGAAATGTGTGACGTCCACATTTTCAGAAACAAATGCAACTGATGAGCTTTGCTTTGTGGTGGCTTTGAATGTTATCTCCTTCTACATATGAACACTGAAGGGTTTTTTATTAGTTGGGAGAACAACAGAGTCAGCTTAAAGCCTGAGACTAAAAATCCAGATAATCACATCCAATGTTAGCAGCACAATAGCCTGTTTACTAATGCAATGCTATCACCTGCAGCCAAACAATAGGTATTAATGCAACCTGATAGTGTGACTTTCATCCTCTAAACACTGACCAATACATGGAATAACCCCACTGCTCCCCCTTACATCTCCTCGAGTTACTGCACCGCTTCAAATTACACATAATGCATGGAGGGGCTGCATGAATGGGGAAAGTTTGAGTTCAAAAGGATGAAGTCTGGTCTTTGTGCTGGGACTTATTTGGATGTTGACTGCTTGAAGTATGCACAGGAGTTATTCATACAAGAACAAGATGTCAGAGAGAAACCAGCATGAGTAGATTAAAATAACAGCATAGTTTGGTTGCATGAAATAAGACTCCTTCATTGAAGCCACTGGCGTGAGATAGTATCTCAGACATCTGCAGCGAAATCCAAGTAAAATCCTGAGGATTAACTGCTGAGCTTTTGCTTTGATAGCACACAAAGACAGATCTGTCAGTCTTCTCTTACCTGCCTGACATTTCTGGGCCTGTCCTTGACCGGGCAGCTTTGCCGAATCGCACTCTATCTGACCTCTGTGTCTGATGAGAGGCAGCTCTGGCTCGCAGTTTGCTTTGTGTTGCAGCCAGAAGTTAACTTTAGCCTCGTTCACACAGAAAAGGACACGGTCCAACTCCTGACTGGAGCTACTAAAGGTCAGGAAGACCCAGCGCAGCAGCCCGACACTAAACCTCAGCCTGTGTATCCAACTGCTGCGTATGCTAAGTGCTTTTCTAACATCACTATCACTGCTATGAATCCTCTGGCAGGTCCTTTCTAAGAAACACTGCGAAATCCCCAGGAGACGCGACGTGTTTATCAGCTACGCCGACACAACCTGACGTTTTCCAGGGTGATCTAAAAGCCCTCTGCTGTGTGACCTCGCTGAACTAAAAACACGCTCTGTGTTGCATCTCCTGCACAGCTGGAGAAGCTGGAGGTGAACTCAGCAAAGATTTACACCGGTGTGGAAGCACCGCTTCACTCGAATCTTAATGAAATTGTTTTACGCCCGCCAGATGTTTCCTACCTGCTGCCATATATGACTTTGCATGCGTGTTGTAAATAAACAGCCAGGTTTAAAATATACAACATGAAACAGTCACCTTTGTTAGCTGCCAATTTTTTTTTTAATGCAGGAAAACCCCTGTAGGACCTGGATGGATATATCTGCATTTATTATATTTATTTATTGGACTTGCCACAGATTTAATATCGGTGCAGTAATATATAACCGAGCAAACGCCCACAATATTTCAGACGTGCAGCAGATGATGCGTTTGCCGTGTAAATTATGGTGAAATGAGGAGCCCTCTGACACTGCTTGTCAGCCTCTCCCCTCAGTGCTTCCCCACTGAGCTGTGAACTGTTGGCCTTGCTGTGACACCCTCAGTGTCTCACAACACACTAAAAACCCATTTGACAACAATAGCAGCCACAACTAGGACAAACACTGTGCTCTCATCATCTGACTCCATTCAACCTTCCCCGTTTTTATCGTCCTCCAGCTAAAAAACACATCAGTACTTCCTTTGACCTTGCTCGCTGAAATCTTGGTTAAGTGAGGCTGTGTTTGTGCGCCAGAGCACGAGTTCATTAGAGGCCTTTAAGAGAGGTTTTCATGGACACAGAAGTCCATATGGGCAAAGCTTTTAGTGCTAATTTAGTGGTCAGCTGTTGCCCCCAGTGAGGCCTAAGAAAACACATCAGGCTGCAGCCATCTCATTGACCTCTTGGCAGCTTTCTCTTTGTTTCACATCGGGCTGATTGATTTGCAGCATGGCTATATTGAGCCAAATGAGCCACATGGCCTCCGGTGAGAAGAAGAAGAAGAGAAAAAAATTTTTTTTGAGGAGCATTTCTGTATATTTGCGTCGTTGCTTGTGGCATCTTTCTGTTAACTTTCCTGGCGAGGTGAAATCACACTCTATTATATGCACTGTGACACTGCCTATCAATCTCATCTCCACCTCTTCATTTGCTGCAGGATCATCCCCCACTGCACTCAGCCCTGCAGGCCAGGAGAAGAGGGGCAATGAAAGCCTGCATGCATCCCCAGACTGCCTCTGCCTTGTAATTTTCTCGGTTTTGGCTCAGACAGGAGCCAAGTCAAAACAGCCTCACACCTACGCTCACACACCTACAATTTGCCAGCGGCCTGGGAGGACAGAGCCGCAGATGTCAGCCATTAGGTCACACGTAGAACTTTAGAAAAACTCTAAATCTGAACTTCTGTACATGCAACAGGCAGACAGATGAGCTTGCACATTGCTGTTTCAGCTGTGTGTAATTTACGCGAGTGAATCTTTGATTCCTTTTTTTCTTTGGGGTTACTCACGCTGCAGGACAAGTGTAGTGTGTGGGGAGCGTTTGGGTTTTTAACACGGTTCAAACTAACCGTGAAAAACAAACTCTTCATCATCGCGTCTTACATCTTGTGACAAAGTGTGAAACCGCTGTGGTTGACATGCAGAGCAGGAGCGAAGTGGGAGGTGCATGCAGCTCAATTAAAGCCTCAGTAAATTATACAGTACCTTGGGGTGTGAGGGCGATGCAGCATCCCAGAGCCATGACAATGCACGGTGGTTTAAACTCACTTTAAATCCGTCACCTGAACAGGAACTCCGCGTCCTTCGTGACTGACGGTCCCTCGGCCCTACTGACCTACAGCCCCTCTGGAACATCTGCTCACACTCCACCCCCATGTCCCCATCCCCACCCAGTGCAGGGTACAGATGGCCCAGCCGTGCCCTGACTTGGAGACCACTAATCTGTTTATGGTGTGCTATAGGAGGAGAGGAGTGTTAATCCAAACCGCTGAAACAACACTGACCGCTTAACCTACAATGAAGGATCGCGGAGGGTACGGAGGAATGCCGAAGGATGCACGGGACAGTGCATGTCCTGAACTTTTGTGTTAAATATTGCAGTTCATTCTTTAAATAAATAGTTTAGATGCTTTGAACTACTCAAGCACAATACTTTCTAATCAAATTTGTTAGTGAAAGCAAATGCAAAGCATCTAAAACTAGATGCATGGCACTCACCTGAAGAAAAAGTAAACAGACCAAACTGCTGGGAGACTTATCCTTTCATATTTTTTCTGTAATCAAAAATGAAAATGCTCCAATGTAACATCTGCGATTATTAAAGAAAACAACGCTGCTCTCCTGCTGAGTGTCCAGTCAGCTGCTGAAGAAAGTCTCCACTGAGGTCTGATTAGGAAAGCACAAAGAGTAGAGTCCCAGTGCCAGTAGGAAAAAAAACAATAATACCCCTCTCCCCAGTAATCCGCTCTGAGCCCAAATCCACCCAGCTGATGGTGATGTCGCTGCCGCCGCTGCTGACCAGCTGCATCAGGTGGGGCACAAGATTGTTGACATTCAATAAGAAACCAACAGGCTAGCTGAGGGAAGCTTAAGAGTTGCTGAAACGTTGAAATGTTGCTGATTATAAGAGTGATGAACAGGAGGATTAATGGCAGAAATATAGCATAATATTAACCAATTAAAGAGCCAGCTACATCTGGCTGCTCTTATTCACAAGAAGTAGCCAACGCAGGCAACTCCACATGTTTGCTTTTGCAGGTTTTTCACACTGCTTGCCCTTCCTGATGCAAACATAAAGGGATTTGTGCCTCCTCTAGACATGCTCCCAACTGCATAACAGATCTAACGTAATAGCAACGGCATATACCTAATTGCTTGTGAGAGCCAGCCAATCAGAAGAAAGCTGGCTTATACTGTGGCGAGCTAAAACTGTTTTTTCAGGGTGGGGATAAAATATTTAAGATGCATAAGGTTTATTTTTGAAATGTGAATCGGGTGAAGCTACTTTGGAGTTCAAGAATGGAAAAAAATAGAGTTGTCCTTCTAAATGATCCTCCATCATTTGGTGTTTTGATGATGGTGCTCGGTTTGGGTTGAGCTATGGGAACAGCAAAGGCTTAAATATATGATTTGTGTCAGTGTAACAACGAAGCCACCCAGTGAAGCCTCATGCTCTAATGATGGAGACTTTTTTATGCTGAACAACAAAAGATAAAGGTGAACACTCAATACTGTTTAATTGGTCCAATAGCTTCACATATTTGCAAGCGAGAGAGCATCTGGACTTGAACCAGAGACCTCTTGATTTGCAGTCAAATGCTCTACCACTGAGCTATACCCCCACACCAGGGCTATGTTCTCACTGTAAATGTGACCCAAGCCTTGCCAAATGCCCTGCACAGTATAACAGCCCCATGGTACTGGTGACTCCCCACAGACCCTGGATCCTACATTTCCCATAACTGCACCATGATTGCATCTCTGAAGCACTTTTTTTTTAAAGAGAAAGCTATTATGCTTTTACTTACTTTCTCTTTACCAAAGGTCCAAATAATGAGGCTCACAGGGAATACATACCACGACCTCATTATCTGGAGGTTTGGCTGAGTTTAATATGAGCATCCAACACTGGGACAGTTTATATATGACAGAAAACTTTAAAAAGCATAATAGGTCCACTTTAATATTAAACTCCAAAGACATAAAAGCACTTTGAGGAAATCTATCATGTTTAATCAGTCATAACTGTCCAGAAAAGAAATGGGTATGTGGTTATATTAAACATAGCAAAAATTAGCCAAGGGAACCTTATAAATGAAGTTGCACTTACTTTGCAGCTTAACTGAGCACTTTTCAATACAAGCCTCATTTAAACCACGCACAGCACTTTGTACACATACTCTAAATTGCCTTGGGAGCATCCTTTCAACTAGAAGTCATCACACCAAATATACCCATAAGAAAAGAGCCCTTTGTGCTTTCATGCCCCTGCTTATCCACCTGTTTCACAGTCTTTGTTGTCACTGCTGTAGAAGGTGTCACTTGCTTTTAAAGCAAGGGTAATGTGGTAACTGTCCAACTTAATTGGTGTATTTAGCGTGTAACATTTAAGTGGCCCTTGGGATCGTTTCCACTCTGACACTGGACTTGCACAGACTGGTCATAGTTGAGACTAATTCTAGTACAAGTAACTGAAGGTGTTCCCATCTGTCTCTCTTCCTACCACACCTATTCAAACAGGCACTCCCTCAGCTCACCTGGAGCTTTGATGTGGGCTCTGCTTGGAATGCAATGCTGGGAACCAGGAGGTCCACAGGGGGGGTAATGAGCCTTTTTTGCAGCCCGATGCTGCTCTCAGGTGCCTGCAGGTACCACAGCAAACAGCTGCTGAGCAGTAATCAAACTGCTGGTTGACTTCCTAAAGTGCTTTACTGTCCCTCAATATGAGTCAGCTAATTATCCGGCTGAGAAACGAGGAATACGCCCATCAGGATCACGATTCTATTTATAGTCCCATAAAAGTGACATTTTAATCTACCTAATCTGTTCTTTAATGACATCACCACGGCGGGAAAAGCACGGCAGGAGTGTGAAATTATTCCTGATGAATTAAAACGCACGAAAGTCTGCTTGTGTTTCTTGACTTGAGGTCAGCACGCAGGGGTTGGCAGCGCTGCAAGCCCACACACGAAAACTCGTCTGGTGGTGAAATGAAATCACACGTGTACTTTCAGGAGACGCTGCTTTAGATTTTGGACCAGCGCCTGGAGCGCCAAACTGTCTGTCTGCTTGTGTGCCAGGAGGTACAGTGAAGGGTGAAAATGAAGAAAGGGAGGGGGAATCCCATCAGATATCACAGTTTTCCATTGTAAAACGTTAAAACACATGACCTCATGATAAACCTAATGTTCTACTGAAGGCAAATAACAAGGAAAATGCAAGAGCGAAGTGCATAAACACACAGACGACCATACAAGCTTGGAAAGCCCAAAAATATATTCATCAACAGGAAAGAAATTTCAAAACCACAACCCCAAAGCTTCCCTCCTGCGATACAATCCTCAGCAAAGCTATAAAGTTTCTGAAGTTTATCCATACCCTAAACGTACACACGCAGTTTTTAAACCATGCTGGTTAAGAATTATTTGGAATAATATCTGAAACTCTGTTGCTGCTGAGCCGAAATCCTCCCGAAGATCGACGAAGGCTCAGAGTTGTAGAAGAGGAGCGGTGCGCGATTGTTTCCTCAGCTGCTTTAAATTACCACTACAAAGTCTGTCGGCAGGCTGCGGTGACTTTGAAATACTTTCCATTTTGAACCCTCCACAGCGCTGTACATCGCAGGGTAGGCGTGACGCCAACAAAAAGATCTCCCTCTCTTTCGAGGGAGACGTTTCTGGTGGGGAAAGGAGGAGGATGTGTTGAACGTCTGACGTCCTCAGAAACATTTCCTTTGTAAACTTTTCCAGCTTGTGTAATGTTCACGAGAGTGTGCGGCGTGTTTTACAGCACAGTAATGAGCAGGCAGTTTTGCGAGAGCGTCACTGCACATTTATGCGACGCTGAATCCAGACAAATGAATAAATAGAAAGGGTGACCTGGGCTTTCATATCAACAGCAGATCAAATGGCTAAATGAAATGCGAAGGCAGTTGCTTTTGGGGAGTTGTAGCAACTTGTCGCAACATTTAGCTCATTACTTTGGTTTTACAGTAACGCTTTGCTCTCTTTATGGTGTTTTTGCCAGTGTATAACAAACCCAACAGCCCACCGGGTGTGAGTTGACCTCCTGTCAATCCTACTGTTCAATGGATGTAGGCTAAATCATGCATTGTTCAATCATACTGGAGTCCGAGATCCTTGACGTAGCCTCTGGGTTTGAAAAGTAAAGCCATTGCATTCTACTTAGTGGCCAGCAGGGGGTGAGTACAACAAAAACTTCAAATTACATGAAAGTCTATGGAAAAATGACCCTTTGGTTCACTTGATTTATCACCTCATTAAACACTTTCGTGATTAATTTATGTGATCAACTGTTAGTTTCAAATCTTATTGAATACTACACGATGCTCAGTTTGTAAACAGTGACAGTGATATATATATATAATAAAGATGGGCTACGCTTGGTGCGAGCATCAATTCCTTTCTTTTAACTTCTTATTTTCTCACTCTGACACAGTATATATAGATACTATATTTCTTTTAATTAACAAAAGAAAGCCTTAGAAGACTTAACTAGAAGAAAATGTTTGCAAATCTACTTATATAAGATTCTAAGCAGAGATTTAAAAGTGTATTAAGAAAAGATTTCGGATAAATGCAATTCTGAAAGCTAAACCTGCAGTTTTAAACCTCCCTCTTATTCCACTGATCCACCAAAGAGCAAAATAAGTACATCTATCAAAGTGCTACTAAAGAATGACAACATCCAGGGAGAATCCAGCTCTTGCAGCGATGCGGTGCAATCAACCCTTAGTCATGCTGAACAGCTCAAACAGCATGAGTGGGAGTTTCCACTGCACTTCTCAGCTCACTGTAATTAAATCCTGATTTACACTTATCAGGAGCAAAAACAATGATGAAATCATCTGGAAGTTACCGTCCGCAGATGTTCTCTCATTAAAATCTTGTAAAAAGCCCAAACCAACTCATTCATATTAGCTTCACTTCGAATCGACTCTCACTCTGGGTTGTGAATATTTCATTACCCTGCCCTCGCCATACAACCTGACCCCCTTGTTTACAGGCGTCCGCTCTTTGACTCACAGCTTCTAAGCGATGAAAAGAAAAACCTCAGTATAACAAAAACTGAATGAGAGCAACTCCCAGCCAGCAGAGATGGGGCGATTCATTTTTCTCTCCTCTACATGCGCACTCAGCGGGGTCGGGAGAGGTCAGAGCCGATGCATTCAGCAGCCTTTTACCTCTTGACCTCTAGACACCTCATTATTATGTCTGCATACAGACTGTGGGGTCAGCTCACATCAGCAAACACTCAAGTAAATCACCAATTTATTGGCCACTTGTTCACAGCCTCGTTGCTGACTATAGATATTCAGTTTTCAGATGCTTAGTGATAAAAACTACCCATTTCTACATTTTTAAACTTAATAGAAAAGCAAAAAAACACTGAAAAGTTACAAATATAAACTATAAAAAAAAGTAATCGAGCAGTTCCTTAATGCACAACATAGGGGAAAATGTGAAAAACACATGTAAGAGAAAAGTAACAGCCTATATTTTTAAGTACACGTAAAATTCCTTCAACCTTTAAATCAGCAAGGAGCTCATTTTACAGCTCTGCCCTCCTGATTCGCTACAGAGGCCTTCGGGAGGCTGCAGCACGCCCTCTCATATCACATCATTTAACGGTCTTTGAGGTCACAGCTGACTCCTATTGGGCTGTAATGGCCCTCCCGCTGAGCTTGGCACGGGTTCCTGCTTTCCCTGCACCTTTGAAGTACTCACACACTCAGACTCAGCAGAGGAGGAAGGGGCGTTCCTGGGCTGGTCCCAGCTGAAAAGGCTCTCTGGGTTTCCGTAGCCTCCAGGTCCACCTGGCCTATTAGTCTCACAAATTAAAACATTCGCCCTTTGACCTCCTGCTTTTGTTCCGTCTTAGGAGCACCCAGAGAAAGGCGAACTTTTTTGGAAGAGATTTAAAGAACAAAAAGAAAAACTCGTTCCCATCTTTACTGGAAGTAAAGGTAGTGTTAACCACAAGGAAGAGGATAATGAAAGCCCCTGAAGTCAGAACAAGCAGAAGAAGTAACCTGAGCAGCCTCGGCACGATCAGCTCTGTCAACATGAACCAGAAGGCTTACGGGAAAACGGTTGCATTCAAAAAGGTGAAACAAAAGTGTTTTTTCCTCTGTGGTCGGACAGGACGAGCGAGGAAGGAGCGAATTTACCTTTCCACATGCACAAAGCCAAGAAAAACAAGACGGGAACGAGAGATTAACCTGTCAACAGGCTGCATTTATGCTACGCACATTATGTAATTTCAATACAACTCCACATGCATGACAAAGCAACATTAGACATGGGAGGATGTGTTTAATTGAATCGTTCCTTTGAATATTTAAACGTGCGTTACAAAATGTGTCCTGGCAGGGCCCGCTTAGGAAGGAGGCAGCTCACACCTTACAAATGGCTTGGACCAGACCACTACGCCAAGTTTATCACAAGGTTGACACTCCACCAGAAATTCAGATTCAGAAGACTTTATTCATCCTCGAGGGGAAATTGAGAGACTGACCTTGCCGACCATACATACAATACACAAACATCACATTGGGGAGACAGGTCAGGCTAGGTAGCACTGGCCGGTCGACCACACAAGCAGCGACCCGGAACCGAACAATGGAAAATACACAACATTAGGAAAGACAAGGAGAAAAAAGAACTCCCCCCCAGACAGAGCTCCAACAGGGAGATCACTTTGAGAACAGAAAAAAAACGAGGTAACCGCGCTAATGCGTTGACGCCGTGCTGCCCCGCACAAGGGCGATCCGCAGTAACTTGCTAACGGAGATTTGCCGCATTAATGCAGTTATGGCGTTAACGTCCTTTCAATGAGATTGACGCTGACAGCACTAATATTAAGTAAACTTGTTGAAGTACCCAACCCTCCAACTCCGTCCCTCAGCAGTGGATAGAGTATGAGAGGAACTAGCATGCCCACAATCTTTGCATCGTCCTGTCTTATAGGTACCAACCAGGTCTGCCAGCCCCAGAATCCACAGTCAGTCCCCAATGAGACCATCATCAGGCCTAACTTGCTGTTTCACGATCAATAAAAGTTGTTTAATCACATTTGGAGATGTGGTTCCTGCTAGTAAATGAGGAAAAAACAGTAAATTGAAACATTTTCTTTTGCTTTTTTTTAGGACTTTTTATCAATTTTCATTTCTTGAGGGATTGATGGCCTGCCGTGCAAAGGCAAACACAGTGCCGTGTCAGTCATAATAGCATGTGTGTTAAGAGTAAATAACTCTTTCTCTTGTCATAAAACAGAAAACTTGCAGAGTCCTGTCTGCACGCTGCCGCCTGCCTGACCTTATGTGTCTCGTATAACTGTTTCACGGTCGCACTGGCCTATATCTGCGTTCTGCTTTGACTGAAAGGCTGCACACTGCTTAGTGTTTAAATTTGAAACAAAAACCAGCTCCTGGCGACAGAAGCGCATCCAGTGTGTTGCACAGCTGCTCATTTATCAGCTCAGTGTATGACAAGCTGAGGGGTCAGAGGGTAGAAGCCTACATGGCACTACACTTTCAGGTCACAGGCGGAGCTGCAGAGGTTACGGAAACACTCGAGCGATTACAAACTTACATGCGTGTGTAATGTGTGTGTTCGGTATCAGTGAGGGCAACAACCTCACACAGTTGGAGAGTCGCTTTGTAACCTGGCACTAAAGGTACACAGGAATATGCAGACTGTTATGTAAGTGTCTGAATAGCTTAATCGCAGAAGGTTTTCACCACAGTTTCCTGTGTAAACACTGAGCTGTGTGAGCCTCAGACTGTGGTTTCACCAGTTTACTGGCATCACTCGCCGCTCACATGGAGCACAATAAGTAGAACAGACAGAGTGTTCGAGGGGAAAATAGGGAACCCTGAACGCAGACATGGAGCAAGGTGTGGTTTGGAAAAGGGATGACGAGGGCAGATTTGGCGCTGGACGATCGCAGTGGAAACCTCGGTTTAACAGACAGCTATGGTCAGACTGGGTTCAGCTTTGTAGGAGAGTGACCTGCGGGGGTCTCAGGGAAAGTCATCAAGAGGGAGCGGCATTAGGCTGAGCTGGGCTGACCCTCACACATTTCTGTCTGCTGGGAATCAAATCAGAGAGAGAATACATCGGCGGCCCGGCTGGTCCAAGACAAACCAGTCGCTGGCAGGATGGATGGATATGCACAGAGCAAACCCAGCAGGCCTTAGAGGGAAAACAATGGAGCACCAAATCCTGGCGGCTTCCAGCACCACACCCAGAAAGCCCCCAAACCCACAAGCTTCACCAGGAGGTGGAACTATTTAGAGAGAAATAGCACTGCTAATACAACACAGTGTTTCCCACACACAGACTTTCCTCTATGGTCCTGGGTTTTGTGTAGTTTTGGGCCATGTTTTGATTTAATTGTCATGCTGTTCTCGTGTTTTTCATGTTCACTTTTTCCTTGTGTCTTTAGCCTCCCTTTGCCTTTCTCTCCTTGTTTCATTCCGCTTTCTTTCTTGTTTCCACCTCCTGTTTTATTTAAGTAATATATTTCCTCAGTGTACCTTTCCTCTGGGTCTTCACCTCCTGTCTTTCTTCCTTTCTCTGAAGGCCTAATTGTCTTCAGTTAGGAGTGCATGCCTCCATTGTTTAAATTCCTGATATGAATCAGCCAGTGCAAGTGCACTTTTTTATTTATTTTTGGTCTTCTCTGCAGATAGCCACACACTTTGGCGTTTTTTAAACTTGTACACCTGCAGTCCAAGATTGCAGAGTTGTGTCAACGGCCAAACTCAGGACCTTCTTGCGACAGATCTAACCACACCACCACTGTACAGTCTGCATTCATCATAAACTGTGTATTGCTTTTAATTTAGTAGGAAAGCTTGGGCACAAAGTCCTTCTAAGAGCAAGTCGCTCAAGAGTGAGTGAATGTGGATGGATGTGGTGGGTACCCCTTCCTCATTTCTTTTCTTTGTTCATTTAGATAATTGTTTCAGTTATTTGTGCTGCTACATGTTATATTTCAAACAAACATTGGTTTTTTTGCACCTTTTTGTATATTCCCAAACGCCTTTCCCAATTCCAATTCCGTTTCAGTGATCTCCCTCTGGGAATCTTCTGACATTTGTGAGTCCTTAAATTGATGCTGTGATTATTATTCCTAGAGATTCAGAGGAGTTTGGGGTTACAACATAGCTAAATGCCCAGTAATGTCTCAGTGCAGACGCTAACAATATTAGAGATACAGTCAACCAAAGTAAAACCTTTAATTAAATACATCTTTACTTAACTTTAACGAGTAGAGAGATAAGTTGAAATGCTCCCTGCTTTTCTGTTCAATACATTTATTTGAATGCTTTGTCTGCTCCTTATAAAGTGTCTTTAACCGTCACAAATCCAATCCAATCACATTCACTTCACCGAGAAACATTTTCTCCAGACCAGCGTGTCGCCCACTCGGAGCCCCACCCTGACTCTCCCAGGACACACTGGGATTATACCACATGTATCTCTCTATTGTCGGCCAACACAAATATTCAAACGTACACTGATGATTCTGTAAAGCAGTGCCCAGCTGTAGGAGTGTGTGTGCATAAGATTTCCACTGAAACAGAGCGTGCGTGTTTACTCATTAACACAGCGGTACGGAAAGCATCAATGAGCTGGAGTGGAAATCGCAGCTGGGCTGTCAGCGCCACACTGACACCTCATACTAACTCGTGCCAGAAGGTTTCAGAAAGGATGCCATTGTGTGTATTATTTTAAGCTTTGCGTCTCCATGGAAATGGGCACATGTGCACGGACACGGGTGCGGTCTCTCGCAGCTCATCGTACCTCAGCTGTGGAAAGGAAAGTACAGCCCTGCAGTGAACCCTGAGTCCTCTGCAGATGTGTGTATGCGCAGCAGTGGGAAATATTAACTATCAAACATACAAGAATAAATTATTTGTTTGGAATTTACAGGCCCAGATGGGTTCCAGATGTATGTCAAGTGTTAGGGGTACTTACCTATTCGTCAACGGGAGAATAAAGGCAGAAAGTCGGGGGGCACATGAAAAAGAAAGAAAGAAAACACATTAATAGTTGATTGCAGCAGGATATTAGAAGAACACATCTTGTTATAATCGAAACTATTTATTCAGCTCAGATGAATCTCTAGAGGTGCACTACTGTAGTAGCAGGGTTGTTTTTCATTACATCGGGAACAATCCTGCTTTGCTTCTCCTGAGAAAATCTTATCATCCCGAACAGGAACCAAACATCTTCACCTCCCTCTAATCTCTACGTGCGTGCTCCCCGGAGGCTTTCTCTTTTGCAGAACTTTACAGATGCCAGACCTGCCGGGCTACGGCTCACGCGTCGGTAGCCTGGCTCTGAATGCTGCTCTGTCCTGAGGGACTTTCCTGAGAAAAATAAAGAAGTGGTCCCGGGTAAAGGCTAGAAAAGAAAGTAGGCCTGACTCTTGAATAGCCTGCTGCCCCCGGAGGGCTCGTTCATGTAAGTGCCTCGTGAATGGCAGGCCGTAGGAACAGATGCCAGGAAGCCTTGAAATCCTGGCGGTCGCTGGTTATTATGCTTCGTGGGACATGCGCCATCAAGCTGAAAGAGCAAATATTATTTGGGGCTAAAAAGGAGGAGATAAAGAGCAGCCATGCCCTGTAGAGTTGCTTTTATTTGGTCCGGGCTTTTTGTCTTTTCTCTTATAATTCCTGCATGCTGTTAAGTCTTTTCTAAGGACATATGTCTCTTGTAGCTCTTACGCCCTAACTTCTACTGACCTGCAATCAGCAGCATTTTGGTAATGATGGGTCCCGTTGTTATGACATGATGTAAGATTAGTGGGTGCAACTGAACACATGGCACCCGTGACACACTCTGTTGGGCGTGTGGTGACAGTTTTACGCAAGTCAGAGTTCTCGAGAATACCAGCTACTGCGTTTGTTTTCCCCCTCAGACACATGGATACATCTCCAGCAGAAACAGGAGTATACAGCATGGGTGTGTCCAGCAGGCTGGAAAAGTACGTCAAACTGGTTCCAACTTAACGTCCCCATACATACTTCTTAGTTTCATGTTGGCCATGTGGGTGCAAAATGTTTGCATCAAGCAGTTAAGTTTTTTAAGCCACTCAGATCTCCAGAGATTTATCAAAAATAATGGAGGTGTTGCAACTTGTTCTGTTCTTTTAAGACAGAGAAAAACAAAAAGACTGATCTAAAAGGCGATAGCTACATATCTGTGTGTGCGCTTACTTCAATGACATAAGAAAACAGGCAGCTTACCAAACCAAACATTATGAAATCGGCAGATATAATTCAAAAGGTGCTTTATACAACTTTCAAGCTGCTCACCTGACAAAGTCGAGAGGAAATTAAATACAGAGCGCTTGTATGCACACATCAATCACGGTGCCACATGGTGAAATCCCCAGAAAACTGCTTTACACTGATTTTCTGCTGTGGATAAATTAGCCTAGCATCTTTCATCTGTACAGTCCTGTGGAAGCTAAAGTACAACCTGTGATTCAATAGGTAGTAGCAGCATGACTTTTTCACCATCTCACATCACTGTGGGGGAATTCTGTCCCACTCTTCTTTACGACATTGCTGAGGTTTGTTGGGGAATTTGTTTATGCGCAACTCTCTTAAAGTCCTGACACAGCATTTCATTCAGGTTGAGGTCTGGACTTTAACCGAGCCATTGCAACACCTTGATTCTTTACTTTTTCAGCCATTCTGTTGGTGCTTTTGCCAAATAATGTTTTTATGTTAGCCATGTCAGCCATAAAAGTAGCTTTAGTAATTCGTTTTCACTCTTAAATCACTTTATGTATAAAATTAGATTGCTTAAGGTAAAATTCCCGCATTTCCCTGGTAGATAGAAAATAAACCAATCTGACAAATGTTTATTTATATAGTTTCTGAACATAGTATGTCGTCTGGAGGCTGTTTTAATTCCCCAGCTCAAGTTTCTGGCTTCCAGTTTGGTTTGAGTGGCTGCATGTATGAGACCACCAGCACACAGCAGAGGTGAAAAAGAGAAAAAATGAACTTCATCCAGTAAATTTGTTAAATGGTGTTGAAATCCCGCCAGATGACTTTTCTCAACAGACGACAGTGAAACTGATTCCAGTAAAAGAAGCAGACCACAGGACAAGTGCGACCAAAGGTCGAGATCAAACCAACCTGCTTCTATAATGTCACACTCAAAACTGCAAAGTCTGCACTGATGCTGAAGTGTACAGTAACAGTTTCCAGCAACGAGACAGAAATCCAAACTAAAAGTGAGCTGCGAAGCAGAGAGTATTCAGCAAAGATAATAAATGACCCTGAGCGAGGCCAAGCTGTTATCGCTGATTGTGGAGTCTCTCAGGCCTCCCAGTGGAAACACTTCAGCGTATTTCCTGTAATTTTACGCAGGTTCTCTGCTTGATCAAAACACACAAGCAAAACAAAAAAGAAAAACGAGCTCATTTCAGGAAGAGTTGAGCACAATCATAACAAGCAAGTTGGACTCTTTCCCCTAAAGCACCTGTGGGAGCTGCAGCCAAGCAATAAAAACATACAAGCCCTTAAATCTGCTCTACATCGCTTTGGAGTTCACAACCCTTGGAGAGCAAATCGGGGCTGAAAAACACGACAACTTCTTGCTCTATGCCGCTGCTATCGATGCTCCAGACCCCGAGAGTTTTCTGACTGAAAGACGGGGAGGAGCGCCCACTCCAGCTGAACAAACAGCTCGTGCAGCGTATAGCAGTTTAGGTGTGTCTGTCAGAGAGGCAGATATGTGTGAGGATTTGACTGTCAGCATTTCAGCATACCAGCACTACTGATGACACACAGATATGACACAGGAACACAGACAAACACACTTTACATGCAGGACAGCTGTAATTTAGGACACCGAGGTGGCGATGTAGAGAGCCATCGTGATTATAGGCAGCTTACAAATGGGGATCTGAGCCTCAGCTGATGTTTGAGCTTCCATACTATCAGAGTCAGCCATGAGCATTGTCATAAAAAACATCAATAATACATGAACATCACAGCAATTATACACTTTTCTTTTTTTTTCTATTTTTTTTTAAAAAAAAGGCCAAATATTAATATGTAGGCCTCAGTTAAGTAAGAATAAATTGTGCATTCGGGTTATTATAAGGCATTATAGATAGAGTCTATATGTTAGTCACCTTAGAAGCTTGTAGGTTCACTTTTTGTTCAGTGGATTTTAGTTTTGTTGTCTTTTTGTTGTTGTTTTTTTATTTTAATGTGGGAGTCTATGGGGATTTACTTACTTCTTGAGACAAGCCTCAAGTGGCTAAAAGAGGAACTGCAACTTTTGGCACTTTAAGAGGTGACTGCTTGGTTTTTATGGCAGCCCGTTTCCGCCACAAAAAAAAGTATCCATAACTCGAAACTTCGAGTTATTCTCTCAAAATTTTGACTTATTAACCTAAACTTTTAGAAAACTAACTCAAAATTTCGAGTTAGCGCTGCCAATCAGTAATCTGCGTGAATTACATCATTTCCTTGTTACCCGGAAGCTGAAGCCCTCAGCTGCAAATGTTACAGCTAAGCTACCAATATTACAGCCAGTCATGAATGCACAAATTGCTGAGTATTTTCAGTGTGGCTTCACAAATGATGAAATTGTGTGTTATTAGGTGAATCACATGGCGTTACTATCAGCAAAGTATACTCTCGAAAGCGACAATTTGTTGTGATCCAGTTTTGAGTCCGCATTCCTCTGCGCCATATCCTTCCAGGTAACAAGAAAATGACATCATTCACGTAGATTACTGATTGGCAGCGCTAACTTGAAATTTTGAGAAAGATAGCTAGAAATTTTGAGTTATGGATACTTTTTTTGTGTGTGGCCGAAACAGGCTTCCATAGGTTTTTAATCTTTTCTGATAACAGCAAAGTTCTGAGAGTCTCTAATTATTCACACATGTACAATAAAAACGTAAACTGACTCCAGTAAAAAGTATATTCAGGTGAATTTAGTCATTTGATCCCTCTTTCTAAGAAGCGAGCCATCAACTATTAAAGCTGGATATAATCAGGAAAGAAAATGAAACTGGCTTATAAATAACTTGGGTCCTGGTGATTAATGGCTGATGCTGGGTTTATGGTGCTAAATACATCTCATATGTATCCGTGGAGGGTGCAGAGCCATAAATACAACACTGTTGACTGCCATCAAATTTACAAATCGCATCAGAAGGGAAGCTGGTGTCACCGAGCACCCAACACTCAACTGCAGTTACATTTTCAGCTGTAGGGGCTTTTATTAAACTGCTGAGGCAGCGACCTTGGCTTCATTAACGCCCTCGGCGTCTAACAGTGATGCTGTCAGTCTGTCATAAAGAGAAACTGAATCCTCCCACAAGCAACTGGGTATCCGTTTAACACGGCCCCTGGCTGCCCCGCCTGCCTAAATATCAGAAGTCAGTCGGCAGCCTGAGATTCAAGCCCTTCCAGAGCACTGAGCAGCTGCATTGTATTTTATAGAGAGCATATATAGAGTTTCCTGAGGTGGTTATTCCCATAGGTGTAGTATTGCAGTTCAGCTGGAGTTTCATGTTTCTGAGCCTTTTGTTTACAATTCTGAGACGAGCTCCATCAAATCCAATCTTTTTTATGACGGTCACATGATGGCATGGTCAGGACTGCATTGCACTTTTCACACTTTCACTATCAATTGGTGAGTAGCTTTGGGGAGTATTGTTTGCAGACAGGTGACCGTGGCGAGCTGGTAGTGGCCAAAGGAATCATAAGGACGTTAACAATCCAGTGCTGAATGCCTCTTTGCATTCAAATGTCAAGCCTGCCAGTAACCACTCACCAACCATTGGTATATAAATAGGTGACTGTTACCTGATCTAAGCCTGGACTGTTTGCCAGTAACCTGGTAAATATTGAGAGGTTAAAAAACACATATCGCCCAGTGCAGCTTCAAAGCCAGTATAGGACCAGTTACACAAAAGAAGAACTGAGAAAATGAGG